CTCTTTATTGATTGGAATGCAAAACATTATCATGGAGGAGAGGAGAATAAAAATGATGAGGAAATTCTTCGGATCGACTAAATAAAATAGCCACGCCACGCGACGTTCTGCAACTATAAATAGTCCAGTATAAAGCATTATGCTACAGACTGGAATGAAACCCATTAAAAAGTAGCTGTAGTAAATTCTACATTTTCTTAGTTTCTTTGGAGCAATCTTCTTGCGTTTCTTAAGTCTATGACCCAAATTAAGTATGACCCATATTTCAAATGAGACTATGATCCATGCAACGGCTAGTGTCCCTGTAGCCTGACCCAAAGCATTTCCTAAATCAGTGTTCCATTTGAAGCACTCTACATCTTCATCGAGGACTGCTGCTTCATATAGATCCAAGTCAACATATGTATTGTTTATATCATAGAAGCAGTCGGCATCATCAAATGGGTTGAATGTACCATATGTGTACTCAGTAAAAACTGAGCCAAATATCAGCATAGTGATGAAGACCACTGGAAGCATTATAGACCAGAACAATATGCGTATGTCATGCTTTGTTAGTATGAAGCCAAATGCCACAGTATTGTCACCATTCTCCAATATATAAGGGAACATGATTCGGACCAGCTTACCTGGATTAAGAATACAAGAGCCTGCTACTCCTACAGCAATAATTGTAATGATTGCTAGTAGCTCTGGTAGAATAAATGCAACTATGAAATAAGTATCGTAAGAAGTCATTCTCCTCACTGCTTCAAGTTCTCTCTCCCTCTCTCTCTCTTCTCCTAGCTATTGGAGAGCAATGCAAGGTAGTAGATACTTATAGTATCCATTATCCAATACCTTGCATTGCTCTCATAATTACTGCATCCTGTTTATCAGTAATAATATGATTAGTAACGCGGTAGCGTTTACTAATAAGGATTACTAAGTAGGATTAGAGGCCTTTTCACACTTGTCCACTTTGGATCCAGAATTGTGATAAAATCCAGGATTAAAACAGGATTGGCTTGTTCACACTTGTCTTGAATCAGGATTGAATCTAGATCCAGTCAATCCACATCTAGAGGTGGATTGAAGTGGATTGGTCTTAATTAAATATTTGTAACCTGTAGAAGCCAATGCAGTTAAATTCACTTGATTCTTTCTTATAGTGTGAACACAACCAAAGAGGATTCTGTTTTTGTAGGTTGCAATTCTGGAATCTGGATCTAAAGTGGACTAAAAGTAGAGGATTCACCCCAGAACAATATGGCTGCCACGACTTTTGCAGCCTTGCTATACCCGGAAAACGAGCTCTTATCATGCTTACCAGACTTCTTAGAGGACCTTATCTTGACCAGAGGACTCCAATGGTACAACTGGCGTGGCTCTAGACCTTGTCTAAGAGAAAAGTCAAAAATCGGTAAAACGGCCGTTTTGTTCAGTCCACTTTTTTTCATCTTCATCTCCTGTCAATCCAGTTGTAGGTGTGTAGATTCTATTTCAATATTGGCTGGTGCTAGAAGGCTAATTCTTACACCATTCTACTTCAACAGTCTATGTGCAGGTCCATGTCCCATCAGATCATTCTCCAAGAAAGGAAGAAGTTAAATGACATTTAATTTTTTTGTTACAAAAATATTAAATGAAAACTGACACAGTACAATAACAAATAGACTTCTTTCGAAACAAAGAGCAAATTATTTAGAAGTTTTAAAATTCAGTTTGAGCATTTCTTTCCTCTTTTTTATTTTGTATTAGTGCATCAAATACATTTGTAGCAATTTCTCTTGTTTTGTCCTTCCCAATATAATTAGCAGCCTCATTAGCCAGCCCTCTTTTATACTCCAGCTCTATCATTTCTTTCAATATATCAATCCTTATTTGACAGCCACTTTCACCTCCTTCTGTATATTCTTGTATTGCTCCATCGGTTTCTATTGCTATCCTCTTGTCTTTTGGTAATTCCTTTGGCTTCTTTCTCTTTTTCATTGTTTCCCTGCAATACTCCTCAAGACTTTTTGGCTCTTTTTTGATTGGAATGCAAAACAATATCATGGAGGAGAGGAGAATAAAAATGATGAGGAAATTCTTCGGATCGACTAAATAAAATAGCCACGTCACGCGACGTTCTGCAACTATAAATAGTCCAGTATAAAGCATTATGCTACAAACTGGAATAAAACTTATTAAAAAATAGCTGTAGTAAATTCTACATTTTCTTAGTTTCTTTGGAGCAATATTCACGCGTTTCTTAAGTCTATGACCCAAATTAAGTATGACCCATATTTCAA